GATTTCCTGGTTGCTATTAGTGCCTGAAGACAATGTAATGTAATCTACTTGCACTTTAAACTGCAATTTAAACTACAATATATTCTAATGTTGTGGTAATGATTCTATGCATTGATTGTTTTCTTGTGATTAACAAATTATCAATAAGAAGAATAAATACTTGGAAATATACATCTTCACTAATATGCTATAAGTCGTACACATATACTACCGTTCAAAAGTTTGGGGTCACATTGGAAAGTCACTAAAAGCACTGTACTTTTCAATGAAAATAACTCTAAACCAGTCCTAACTTTAAAGAAATACACTCTATACATTGCTAATGTGGTAAATGACTATTCTAGCTAAAAATGTCTGGTTTTTGGTGCAATATCTACATCGGTGTATAGAGGCCCATTTCCAGCAACTATCACTCCAGTGTTCTAATGGTACAATGTGATTGCTCATGGCTCAGAAGGCTAATTGATGTTTAGAAAACCCTTGTGCAACCATGTTCACACATCTGAAAACAGTTTAGCTCCTCACAGAAGCTACAGTACTGAATGGGGTGACCCCAAACTTTTGAACGGTAGTGTAAATGATATAAAATAGAGTGACATCTTATTTATATTTGCACAACATGATTTATGTTCATTATTTCATATCCTGCCCCTTTAAGATTGGTGTCAGGATCTGGGGGCGTTTAAATTAGGTTGTGGATTTTAGTCATTATTGTTGTTCCTTTAACTTTTCTACTTTAGTTTGCTCTGTTTTTCTCTTCTGTTCTCCTCAGTGATTGTTTTTATGTTTTTCTTGCTTCTAAGTTATTTTTCTGATGCTCTAGTTTATCATGTTTCTTTAATCCAAGTTGTTCCTTAGTGTTAGAACTATTTTCTATTCCCTTGTATTCTCTTCTTCACTTTCCTGTGACACTTTCTCTTTCCCCTCCTCAGCCTGGTTCCAGCTCCAACTATTCAATCCTGTAATCAGTTAACTTATTGATCCATTGTTCCCACTATCAACCTCCTAATATTTAAGCTCCTTATTCTCCAGTTACAACCTGCTGGTCCAGCAAATCATCTCACCTCGTCTCCTCCTTCCTGGTTCCCTTGTGTTTCTGTTTTGGATTTATTTTTTGTTTCTTTGACTTTGTATTTTGTATGTTTGTATTTTTATTTTTTCATTAACTTTTGAATCTCACCTTTATCTACTGCCTGCTGCATTTGGCTCGACAAATCAACTCATCTAACAGTTGAAAATGTATAGTTTTCATTTTGGCTTCAAGTCTGTATGGTATTTATTAGTTTACCTTTTCTTACTTTACTTTATCCTTGAATAAATTAAATCATTTTACAAACTGTTTCTTGGATTTAATGTAGTGATCTTTGTCTGCTGTAGTAATTGTTGATGTGGGCACTTGACCAGGGTAGCATGAGATGGGGGAAATATCACATAGAAGACACCTGTTTATCTCCTAAATAAATGACAGTAGTCAATGAGGAGTTGGAGCTCCATTAGGTTGGACTAGGGATACCACTGAAAGATGCTGCAACAGGGCAATATAGTCTTCATGCAGGTTGTGTCGCTGTTAAAACTTGGGGGATACAATGTGTCCACCAGAGGGCAGCATTTCAATACTAGCAACTTGAACACATTTCAGATTCAAACTCACTAACAGACTGCGACACAAGATATTTTCTGCCCAAAGTCATCAACATTTACAGTACATTTCTGAAGAATCTTGAATTAATGAGTTGCATTTAATTTCCCTTTGGAATCTGTTAGGATACAGTCATATAAAAAAGTTTGGGCACCCCTATTAATCTAAATTATTTTTATCTCTAAATATTTGGATGTTTCCAATAACTATTTCAGTTTGATATCACCAATAACTTATGGACACAGTAACATTTCAATATTGAAATGAGGTTTATTGGACTAAAAGAAAATGTGCAGTACACATAAACACAAAATTTGACAGGTGCAAAACTATGGGCACCTCACCAGAAAAGCGACATTAATATTTAGTAGATCCTCCTTTTGCAACAATAACAGCCTCTAGTCTCTTCCTGTAGCTTCTAATGAGTTCCTGGATCCTGGATGAAGGTATTTTTGACCATTCTTCTTTGCAAAACAATTCCAGTTCAGTTAAGTTTGACGGTCGCCGAGCATGGACAGCCCGCTTCAAATCATCCCACAGATGTTCAATAATATTCAGGTCTGGGGATTGGGATGACCATTCCAGAACATTGTAATTGTTCCTCTGCATGAATGCCTGAATATGCTGTCTAATTTGTTTTGAAAACAATTACAAAGTCCACACGACCTGAGTAGATTTGGAGCGGTGTTCTGGATCATTGTCTTGCTGAAATATCCATCCCCGGCGTAGCTTCAACTTCATAACTGATTCTTGAACATTAGTCTCAAGAATCTGTTGATATTGAGTGGAATCCATGCGACCCTCAACTTTAACAATATTCCCAGTACCAGCATTGGCCACACAGGCCCAAAGCATGATGGAACCTCCACCAAACTTCACAGTGGGTAGCAAGTGTTTTTCTTGGAACGCTGTGTTTTTTTTTTGCCTTTTTTTATGACCAAACAACTCAATCTTTGTTTCATTAGTCCACAGGACCTTATTCCAAAATGAAGCTGGCTTGTCCAAATGTGCTTTTGCATACCTCAAGCGACTCCGTTTGTGGCGTGCTTGCAGAAAAGGCTTCCGTCGCATCACTCTCCCATACAGCTTCTCTTTGTGCAAAGTTGTTGAACAATGCACAGTGACACCATCTGCAGCAAGATGATGCTGCAGGTCTTTGGAGGTGGTCTGTGGGTTGTCCTTCACAGTTCTCACCATTCTTCTTCTCTGCCTCTCTGATATTTTTCTTGGCCTGCCACTTCTGGGTTTAACATGTACTGTCCCTGTGGTCTTCAATTTCCTTACTATGTTCCTCACAGTGGAAACTGACAGTTTAAATCTCTGAGATAACTTTTTGTATCCTTCCCCTAAACAACTGTGGTGAACAATCTTTGTTTTTAGATCATTTGAGAGTTGTTTTTATGTGCCCATGATGCCACTCTTCATAGGAGATCCAGACTGGAGAACAACTTGCAATCGGCCACCTTAAATACCTTTTCTCATGTTTGGATACACCTGGCTATGAAGTTCAAAGCTTAATGAGGTTGCCAAACCAACTTTGTGTTTCAGGAAGTCAGTGAAAAGTAGTTAGGAGTATTCAAATCAATTAAATGATAAGGGTACCCAAATTATTGCACCTGTCAAATTTTGTATTTATGCATATTGCCCATTTTCTATTAGTACAATAAACCTCATTTCAGTACTGAAATATAACTGTGTACATCAGTTATTAGATATATCAAACTGAGATAGCTGTTGCAAACACCCAAATATTTAGAAATAAAAATAATAAACATTAATGGCCAAACCTTTTCATATGACTGTATATTCTCATTTTAACATGTCTTTGAGTTTTTGTGTTGTGTTTGTGCTGTCTAATTTGTTTTGAAATGCACACCTGCCAGTTCTGTATCCTGTTACTTTCACTTTCTGTTTAGTATTATTATTGTGCATGTTGTTCTGCAGGGTTGGGTGGGAAGGAGTCAGAATGAGATGTTGGCAGCACTGAAGGAGTTGGACCTGTGAGTTAGCAATAAATAAAGAGAATAGAGCTACCTGACAAACGGATGTGTGGTTCATTGTAAATATGAAGAACAAAACACAACAGGACCAATCAGGTATTATTGAGTTGAATAAGGTTTACTATCAAGATGTTTGGAGGCTCCAATTCTAGATTAATGCCATAAATTCCTGGCCATCTCAATATTTCAAATATAATTTAATTATGACTAGTCATCTTGCTCTTTTGTTATGTCTAGTAACAGTTCCAATTAAATATATCTTAAATTACATGATAAGTAGTCAAGATGTATAAAATGTATTTTTAGACATGAAGTAACTTATAAAGGAATCAAATTGTGCAAATCCAACTACAGATATTGTAAAAGCAAATAGTGGCAGGGAAAACTAAATTAATAGATATCTTTGACTGTAGTTTCTGACTAGATAAAATTCCTTCTAAGGTATAAATTGACAGCTTAAAGCAATGAGCAGCAGTTAAACTCCTCCCTCCCTCACAGGTGACGATCCACCTTGTCAAGAAAATCCGAGATCATCCCACTTCCCTATGCTGGAGACTTTAGTTAACAGTAACAACAAATAAAATTACCTTTAAAATAAGTCACACAAATCACATCTAGACCCAACAGTAGACCCAGACTGCAATAAAATAAATCTGGTTGTGTGTGTTGTTTTTTCTCCTGCAAACTTAGCTTTCATTAAACTTATTTTTTCTATCTAATCACAAGAAATCATAGTCAGAGAGAGAGATGAGACAGGAAGAGCAGGTTTCCTGAAAAAAGAGGAAGTAAGTTTCCAGCTTGCAACTGTACAGTATAAAAATAGCTGAGACCAGTCCTTATTTAAAAGCATAAAAGTCTTAAAGGATGAAATCTAAACATTTTGAGTAATTAGATAAGATTTAAAGTAAAGTACTTATCTTAATATTGGTTTACTTATAACAATACTTACTTACAATTGTGGGAAAATGTACAAGTAAAACAAGTAACTGTAACTTTGGTATCAAATAATAAAAGAGTAATAAGTTGTGGTTATCATAAAATTATAAATGAATGCTAAATTAAAGAAACTAAAAGGGTTATGAATGTGATTTTAACATTGAACTTGAAATGGTGTAAAACATGTAACTGCTATTAAAGATCACTGATGATGTGTTGGAGGTAGATAGTAGGTGAAAGGTCAGGGGTAAAATGGGGACTAACAGGAAAGCAGAGACGACCAAGACCTTATTAGGAGATAGCTTGTTGAACAACTTAAACGTGTCAGAGACATGGGAGGAAGATTGAGCAACCCTGAGACATTAGCCAAGACATCAGGACAAAATGTCTCTAAGACAGTGATGGATATGAGTTCATCTGTCCAAACAAGTTACCCAATAAAGAAAGCACAGCAACAGTGTTAGCCAATGAAAATGCACTGAAAGCGGGTATAAACCCTATATAAGGGGAGAGCAAAAGAGGAATGTTTGGTTGGATTCTCCAGGCAGCTTCGAGTCAAGACCGAGATGGACAAAGAACTCTGCAGCTGAAGAAGAGCCGGGGCCACAGGGACGAAGACTGTCCTGCGCACGGGGACCAACCCATCAGCAACATGTGGCTTCAAATCGGACTTCTCTCATCGGCTGGGTTCAGACCCCAAAGACAAAGATAAAGGAAAAGATGAAGACCAAAGCAAAGATGAAGATCAAGACAAAAATAAAGACCCAAGTGCTGTGTGACCTCATCATCGATGCAGAGATGAAAGTTCATCAGACCAACAGAGATCCCTGCCTTCATCAATCAACCTCCTCTTCCTCCTGCTGCAACACCTTCTTCATCGACCGTTAACAGATGTGCTCTGTGGAACTAGTTGGCTGTAGGCTGCTCAGTCTGGCTAATTCACAGGGGGAAGAAGGGTGGGACATCTGGATGTAGGCCGTTAGTAGTCAGGCGAATCCGGTCTCGAAACCAGCTTAAACAGAGTTTACTTCAGTTCTGGATAGGGTAAATCCCAGCAGATTTAGGAAACTCAATTTACCCGTTAGATGGAGAGCTGGTAGCACATCTTCCCTCTCAGAAGAGGAAGTAGTGACTGAGAGAGTAGAGAGTGAAGGGGGGGGTGTAGCGGCAACAACAACCTGTGATGAGGTTGGTTCTGTCCCTCCCCAGAGACGAAGCATTTCCTCATATTTGTTTATCAAACGCTTTCATATTTCATTTTGCTGTGAAGCAGAAAGATTTAAGGTAAAATAATAGTCTCTTTGATGCTTAACTTGTTATTACAGGTTTATTTCTTATAATTATCTTTACTTGTATTATAGACATTAAACCAAAGAGGGAACTAAAGTCAGTTCTGGTTTTATCTGGCTGCTTTATGTAGAATAAAAATAATCACACAGACTGGAGAGAGAAAAACCAGTTGGTGGAAATACAAGCCTCAACTTGGTTTACAATTTATAACTATTCCAGGTCTCTTCAAGTCTATTTCTTTAATCTTGTTTGTAGTATAATTACTTAATATTTCCCTATCTGTAGTATTATGGAATATTTTTTATTCTTTCCACAAATTCATCAGATATTTTGAGGCTAAACAAAATTAAAACCACAGGTGGAAATACCAGGAATGTGGCCACTCCTTTCACAAAGGCCTAAAGATCATTGTAAACAGAGACCAGCTGTAAGTTCAGGCTCCTCCCAGGTGTTGAACTGGGAGGAGCCTGAACTTGTTTTGTAACTCTGCCTCAGGTTGATGTTCAGAAAACATCACCGACTGACTGAAGGTTGTTTGGCCAGTACTTATTCTGGGTAAAACAATTAGCAACTTCTGTTAATTATAAGTTATTAATCATAATTATCAACAGTTTGCAGAACGTGTTCCCACACAAGTGCATAATTTGCAGAAGCAAATGGAAATAAAGAATTTAGGAAAGAAATTAGGAGTGTATAAAAGAGTATCAGGAGATATTATGTATTGTGAAAATAGTGGTGGAAAGCCCAAACAAAGGGCCAATAATGACCTATATGCTGGTTGGACAATAAGGAGGGAGATAATAATTTGTACAGGTTGGTGAAGTAGAGAGAGAGATGGAAAGATGAGCAGGTCAGGATTTCTAAGGGTAGGAAAGACAGATGCTGAAGTGATGGGAAGATAGAAAGAGAAATTGTAGAAGAGGATAGTTCCGGTCAGATGAGGCTAAAGCTTTTTCTCTGTTTTCACTGTCAAAACAAATGTAAAAAAAGTATAAGTATAATCTGTTGAAGTTGATTCTTAGGATTAATTCTATTATTTGTCAAGATCTACAAATAACTTGTTTATTTTTGCCTGTTTGTGTGGAGAGCTGGAGTGTGATAAATATCTTTATGATTCCTCCACAGAGTGAAGATCTCAGAGGTTCCTGGTGGTCAGAATACCCAACATCAAACATCCATATTTATGGTCTGTATATTTACATCTACAAATTGTAACTAGTGGAATATCAGTCTGACTTACGGCCCTTTACCAAAAGCAACTAGCAGGGCAGTTTGAATTGGCTCAGTTCTGCTCTACACGGTGTGGATGGTTTTCTATCATCACTGAGTCAGAGCTCTAGTAGGTGATGCCAGTGTCAGTACAATGTGAACTGTATGTGACCCAAACACAACGTCCTTCATTAGTAATGGAGGACATGGAAGCCATGTTGTAAATTTCTGATTAGTCTTTTGCTTTTGGTCAGACTCAGTCACTGCTGTGAGTTTTTGTAAATGGTGGATTGGATTATTGTAAGGGAGTCACTCTTGTAATGTGACCTCTGACTTCACTCTCTAACCAATCAGAGACCATCAGACTTTTGTCATGTTTTTCTTAACTAATTACTACTTTATTTTACTAATATTACTACTTTATTTTATTCTATGCTGTTGTTTTTTATTTTAGTAATATTACAACGTTTTTCTTGCCATGTGACAACTTTATTCTGGTAACATTATGACTTTATTTTCACATTATAACAGAAACCTCCTCACGTTAAATCCCTGTGTCTGGCTGTGTCCACTCTTCCCATCATGGCTCTACAGGCAGTCATTAGAAAATTTAATTGTTTTCTTCTTTTCCCTCAGACACAATTACGCCTTTCGCTCTGAGCCGTGCACAAACGTGGAGATGAAACTTCGACCTCATAAGATTGGAATATTTGTGGACTATGAGAAAGGAGAGGTGAAAACAAAACCTTGTTTTACTTTCAGGAACTCACTCATCAAACGATTAACGGCTGATGTGAAACCTTATTAAGTTAGTAAAACTGTCCTTGTTCTTTTCTTCTTCCCACAGGTATCTTTTTACAACGTCGATTCAAAGTCCACATTTACTCTTTTCACGACATCTTCACTGAAAACCTCTTCCCCTTCTTCAGCCCCTGCACCAACAAATCAGGAAAAAACGAAATGCCCCTGATCATCAGTAAACATGGAGTAAAAGCTCCTCAGACAATTAAAATGAGTTGCTTCTCTTTTTATTCAGCTTTTTCCATCTTTATGAGTAGAAATATAATGTGATAATTTAATACTGGAGATCTGGAGCTGGAATCCCAGGATTGTTTTGTTTTCTTGTTGATGCTTCAAAAACAACCTGAAATGTTCAGAATGTGGAAAACGACAATAATTTACTGATTTGGTTTTCAGTTCTTGTACCACATTTTATCCCTTCTATTTTAACACCTGATTTACTTTATTCAGGAATATACCTTTAAATAGGACAAACAATGTGGTTTCTGAATAAACTGTTGTATAATGAACATTTTTCATGATATCTAAAGCAGTTTTTGTTTAAATGCCATTTTCTGTTACATTAAAAGGAGAATTTAGATGTTTTTGAAGTGGGGTTCTGTTGAGAGGTTATTAGCAGCTAACAGCTTACCTTCAGTCTCTAGTCATACCCAGCTTTTTCCATCTTTATGAGTAGAAATATAATGAGAAGAGATCAGATGCTAAAGCTAACTGCTAGTCTGCCTTGAGACAAGAGTAAGAGGATATCTGCCATCTTGAAAATGTATTAGTTTGCACACTTCCACTACAATGCTAGTAGCCGAGCTAATTTTTCTTATTAGAAGTTTTTGCTAACTTTGAAAATGTTCAGTGCCTTTAGCTTCCCTTAAGTTAATTTTTCCAGATGAATTTTAAAGCACTAATTTACTTTGCTGTTTTGTAAACATTCAGTTTAATCAAATTTAACATCTGTGTCAAAGTTTTGGTTTTTACTGTTAAGAATAATTAAATGCTTATGTTCATGCTCTTATTTTGAAGTGGGTGAAGGTTATTTACACAGCAGTTCTGTTAATTCTCCTTATTCTGTTTTCCACAAGAAATGTTACTGAGCAAGTGACAAAAATACAACAAATGAAAAAATGAGGAAAATGTAAAAATACAAAACTCACATAGGGAAACAACTAGAGGTGTTAATCAAATATATGCAAAATATCCAAGTATATGAATTATTTTAGCGCTTCCTCATGTTCACCTCATTATTATCAACATGGTGGAAATATATGTTTTTAATAGTCAATATTTTATTGCTGATATCTTGAACTGGGACTCAGTAGAAGAAATACCTTCATAATTAACTAATCATGTTTAATCATAAAGTGATTTCAGATGTCTGCAATGTGAGTATGAAGAAGCTGATTTTATATTAACACGGCTTGCCATAAAGACACAGCGGTACCAAAGTGTGATCATGACCCACGCCAACATGTTTTTGTTTAACTAAATGTAAAAACCAAACCCACTATTCCACACTGTGGGAAACACAGACACTGGAGACATTTTGAATTGTGTTTTTTCACTAGTCAGAATATAAAAGCAGATATTTTAAATTACCCTTTAGAATAGTCAAAATGTAGTTGTTTCTAGTGAAAACTCCTTTTAAATATTTATAAAAACTCAGATGAACAAGGGTTGGATGAATGGATGGAGTCAGACAAAACAAATTGTATGCTAAACTGGCCTGCCATACTCACAGGGCTCAACCTTCCAGCTTTGCATCAGAAATAGGGGAAGCTGAGTCCGCAGGTAGCCTACTGATAACTTGCCCACAGTAAACAAAACCTGCAAATTGAGGAACAGGAACTAAAAAAACACAGCACAGAACTGGATGTGAATCAGGGAATAGAAACAGAATCGGTTTCTCACCTGGGGAAAAAAATTCTGACACTTATTTTCACGTATCTTTACTGTGTTGCAGATCAACTTCAAACTCAAGGTAAGCCAATCCGTACATTCAGGACGAAACAGAGGAAACACTAAATAACCTCTAGATTTGCTCTTTATGATGTATTTCTCTTTCTGCTGATGAAAGATCAGACCGAGGCTCGTTTAGTTTCTCTATTTCAATTATTTCTAAACTCCAGTTAGGTGTGTTGGTTTGTTTAACGCTGAAACATTATTATTGTTGAACATCATTTACTTATGATTACATGGAAAACTAATTATATATTAAGGCGGATCTCCGTCAATATTTGCAGATAACTTTTTGTCTGTCTGATGTAAATGTGTTTTAAATATTAAAACAAATGCTGTGATCAGTTACTCAGTACTTCAGGGGCCTTTTTATAAAATACTTTTTCACTTTTAGACAGCCATGTTTCACTTTTTTTGAATAAAAAGTCAAATTGTTTTCTAATTTGAGTACAATTTACCCACCTCTGACTATTAATGTGATAAAAACAATCCATAGAAAATTAAATCTAATTTGCTTTGTGATTTATTTCTCATAATTTGAAATAAATTATAAAGAGCAATGCTGTATAATAGACTGATGTTTTTAAAATTAATTTAATATATATAATCATCATACATACGTAAACTCCAATATTTCAGTTCATTGTTTTGTCCTACTTGTTATTTGTTTAAATGGTTGGATTATAAGCAGAGTTCTGAGTTTAGTTTGACAAATGGTCAAATAGATAAAAACACTGAAACCAGAGAGCTGGAACGGTTTGACCTCCTCCTTCTTCATACACACTCATACTGGTTTTTCTGCACATCAAAGAACTCATGTGATCCAATGTCTATATTAAAATGCAAGATTTATCCATTGTTCTATCGTTCCTTTCTAGTTTGGCACCGTTTTGTTTCAAGGTAGTTTATACATCTACCTCACCCAGTCCTTCATACAAGGATTATATATTTGACTTTGCATTTCTACTGACACACACAGCACACTGTACATGTCCTCCCATATTGTGAGCACTGAGGACAAAACTAACCTGAAAATAAAATATTGTTTGCACAGTCTAGTTTGCACTCTAACCTGTGCAAACAGCCTAGCTTGCCCATGCCCATGTTTACACACAATCCTCCATGTTAAATGCCACTCCACCAGTTGTTCCGTAACAGGTTGGTGTTTACAGAGCAGCATCTGATGTTTGCTAGTTTGATTAAAACTGTTTTCAACTTTATTAATTAATGTACTAATATTAAGAGACTAATCATATTTATTAACATCTTATTAATAAATATGCACTTATTAACAAAGTGCATATACAAAAATATGAAGGTTGAAACCTCATTTTATGTTTTAATCATAGGAAAGTTAACATTTTGTTTAACTATTCAGTAGGAAGTACCAAATTAGTTCCTGTGTTTTTGCCAGATACCTTTGTGTTTCTTTGTTGGCTCGTATTACTGCATAATAATGTCAACTGATAGTTTTATGCTACATTCACACCAACCACGTTTTGAGCATCAGGCGCGTCTGGTTTAAAAAGTCTATGTTGAAGCGCATCAAGACTGTAACTCGCCCTCGACCTGCATCTAGAATAAAATGTCAAGCATCTGACTTCAAAGGTCACACACATGAACTTGAAACATTGGACGTTGATGCATGAAACATGTTGGTGTGAATGCATCATTATTGATCACATAATGTGAGAAAAAAACAATATGTAGTAGAGCTGTGGGACAGGGGAGTGATCGTCTCTATAAATTAATATAAAAACTGTTTGCAGATTGATGTGGCCCTGAACTCGGCATCATGGATCAGAGTGAGGAGCTGAAAGAAGGAGAAACTCAGAGCAAAGCTAAGAGGTGAAGAGACCTTCTACTGTTTTTGTGTCGTCAATCTGTTAGAGCAAAGCATCACTTAAGCAACTTTATTTACAGCAAATCTGACGATGAAGTGGAACCAGAATCCTGGGAGAACATGTCCAAGCGGGATCTCATTGATTTTAAATCAAACCAGCCTTCATCTAGAAAGAGGTGAGCTACATCTAAACAATCTATGTATCTAAAACGTGATCCCAACATATACTGTAGTATGGAAAAATATTTGCCCATGGAAGAAAATGTTAAATTATTTTATTGTACTATTGTCTTAGTGATTTAGTAATTTATCAGGTCAGTAGGTGATCAGACCTGGGTGGGGCTGGAAAACAGATAAATGTTGTTAATCACAGTTGAATTATAATAGAGTAATTAATGGATTATATTCCTAAGGTTCGTAGCTTATATGGTGACTGACAGGAACAAACACAACAGATAATAAAATACGCTGCAAACACATGAATGATATAAACTCCAAAACACACAAAGACAAAATCAAAAGCCATCCCAAGAAAATAGAAACTAAAACCTGAACAATACAAATGCAAAAAAAAATAAATAAATAAAATGAAAAAGTGTTGCAAATGCAGACTGATATTTGCTTTCTGAACTGTTTTAGTTATTTCCTCTTTTGATCATTTCTTTGTTTAAAGATCTCTTTTTCAAACTTTAAAATAAATATTTTTTATTTACAGTTTGTTTTTTGTGTTTATGTGTTTTGCTATTTATATTGTGTTTAGGTTAGGGTTAGGCCAATGCACCTGTCAGCCACTGTACTCTTACTGTATCTGATTGTTTTACATGACAGAGTTCAGCACTCACTGCCCAGCTGTTCATCTGGACATCTGTCAGAAATAGACCAACCTCCTTCTCCTGAGAGGTGAGTTGTTTTTTAATGTTGTAACTTGGTATATCAGGGCATTTGTTTCTGTTTTATAACCATAATTGACCTTTTTACCTACCAGCTGAATACAGGAAGTGCAGCTGACATTATGTGTTCAACAGCATTCAGCTTGCCTTACTTTTCTTTTGTAATTGACATCCAGGTTAGTTTTTTAGAAAAATTTCCATTACTCCTGTATTTACATCTGAAGGTGGTAGTTGCTATGGTGAGACAAGAGGTTTCTGTGTCGTCTGACCCATCACTAGTCCTACCTGCTGCTATTGGATCCACCTTATAAACTTCAGTATGACGTTAATTTTGTTACCTGTCTGGATCCACAAAAAACTCTTATTTTTCTTTTGTGTGTGTGTAGAGCTGTAATGTGAGCAAAGTCTTTCTGATTCCTCCACAGAGTGAAGAAAATCTCAGAGGTTCCTAGTGGTCAGTCTCCCCAACAGCAACATATAGAGCTGGACTCCATATTTAAGGTCAGTATATTTACATCCATTGCTTCCTGTCTATTGTGTTCATAATCATCTCTATGCTGTAAATTATAATCCAGTGGATGAACCAGTGGATTTTCCACCAGCACTTATTTTGTTGTAACAGCCTCTCTTGATGAGATATTTAGCTCCACTATTGGAGCAAAATGAACTGAGCCCAGAAGAAAACTAAGAAGAGTCTGTTCCCTATTGAATTAAAGTTGATGGAAATTTTGGGTAAATAATTAAGTTTAGATTTACAATGAAATTTCACTTTCAAAAAAAATATATTAATACGTCATCCCCCAACTCACAAACCTCTGAATTTAATGGTATCTCAAACCACTGGCTAAACCATTGATTTCTTGTCTATTATTCCATTTTAGGATCTAAAAAAGAAGATTTTCACCTTTGAGGAAAATGAGCTGAAAAAGATCCAAATGGCTCTGGGTTCAAATTACCCAGAAGGTTTAGATGAGAATAAGGAGGAGCATGAAGTTTCAGAGGGTGAAGATAAACAGCAGATGAACAGCAGCAGAGAAGCATTTGAGAAAATCACACAGCACTTCCTGAGGATGATGAACCAGAAGGAGCTTGCTGACCGTCTTCAAAGCAGTAAGATAATTTCTGTAAAAAGTGTAAATTGATAAATAAATCTTTCTTTCAATGTTGGTAATCATTTAATCAGCACAATCAATAGGTTGCCAATTTGATACCTGCTCCGTCCAGACTGGTGCATGGCAGCCAAACCTCTGTTAGATTTATATTTAGAGGCTCCAAAATGAGATTCAGATACATTTGTTGCACAGTGGGTTCTTTTTCTCACAGTGAATATAAACATGCATTTTGTATTTTGTGTAGTTTTTCCCCTTTAACATGTCAGACACTCTGAATTGGACCTGGTCTGCTAATAAGGAGGACCAGAGCCTTCTTATTAGGATCTGGTCCTAATAAGGATCTGGTCCACAGTAATTGGTCCCGCTCCACTTACTGTGCAGAGGTACCACGGTAATTAGTTGCTCATAGAGCAGTGTTTCTTAATTCCGTTCCTCAGGCCTTGCTGTCCTGCATGTTTTAGGCTTCTTCAGTACTTGGTGGCTGGAGAAGATAACATGCAGTCATTTAATCAGCTGTTCTGGTATAGAGGCACATCTAAAACATGCAGAGCAGGGGGGCCTGAGTACTGGAATTAAGACGCACTGATATAGAGGGATTTGCAAAGACTAATAAATGCAAGATAAAAGAAGCTAAGGTAAAGGAAGGGGAGTACAGATTTGGTGGAATACAGATTTATTTCAGGTGAGGAGTTAGTAGAATCTCACTGGGCACAAAGTCCAAGGAGTTGGACAGGGCAGAGAGGAACCTCAACCTTCGCCCTTTGGGCTGGAGGGGACGTAGCACGCCTAAAGAGTGGCCTGAGGAGTATGCTGGAAAGAGATTTTGATTTAGAGGCTATAAAAATGTAACCAACAGAAAATATTTGTAATAATTTTAAAGTTAAACATATAAGAAGTGAAGAAATTATTTTAATTAGTGATTTTTGCATTCTCTTAGGATCATTCACCACCTGTCAACAAACACTAAAGTCTAACATGAAGAAAAAGTTCCAATCTGTCTTTGAAGGAATCGTAAAATCAGGAAATCAAACCTTTCTAAATCAGATCTACACAGAGCTCTACATCACAGAGGGAGGATCTGAAGAGGTCAATAATGAACATGAGGTCAGACAGATTGAATCAGTGTCCTGGAAACCAGACAGACCAGAAACAGCAATAAGACATGAAGACATATTTAAACCCTCACCTGAGAGAGAAGAACCAATAAAAACAGTGATGACAACAGGAGTGGCTGGCATTGGGAAAACAGTGCTGACACAGAAGTTCACTCTGGACTGGGCTGAAGACCAAACTAACCAGGACATCCAGTTCATGTTTCCATTCATGTTCAGAGAGCTGAATCTGTTAAAAGACCAGCAGTTCAGCTTAGTGGAGCTTGTTCACCAGTTTTTTAGTGAAACCAAAGGAATCTTCAGATTTGAAGAGTTAAAAGTTGTGTTTATCTTTAATGGTTTGGATGAATGTCGACTTCCACTGGACTTCAAGAAAAATGAGATCCTGACAGATGTAAGAAAGTTCACCTCAGTGGATGTTATTCTGACAAACCTCATCAGAGGGAACCTGCTTCCCAAAGCTCACCTCTGGATAACCACAAGACCTGCAGCAGCCAATCGGATCCCCACTGAGTTTATTGGTATGATGACAGAGATCAGAGGATTCACTGATCAACAGAAAGATGAATACTTCACCAAAAAATTCAAATATAAGAAGCAGGCCAGAATGGTAATTTCCCATATAAATAAATCCAGAAGCCTCCACATCATGTGCCACATCCCAATCTTCTGCTGGATCACTGCTACAGTTGTGGAAGACATGTTAAACAAGAAAGATGGAGAAGAGCTGCCAAAGACCCTGACTGAGATGTACATCCACTTCCTGGTGGTGCAGACCAAACTGAAGGTCATCAAGTATGATGGAGGAACTGAGACAGATTCAATCTGGAGTCCTGAGAACCAGAAGATGATCGAGTCTCTGGGAAAACTGGCTTATGAGCAGCTGATGAAAAGAAACCTGATCTTCTATGAATCAGACCTGACAGAGTGTGGCATCGATATCACAGCAGCTTCAACATGCTCAGGAGTTTTCACACAGATCTTCAGAGAAGAGAGAGGTCTGTACCAGGACAAGTTGTTCTGCTTCGTTCACCTGAGTGTTCAGGAGTTTCTGGCTGCTCTTCATGTTCAACTGACCTTCATCAAATCTGGAGTCAATCTGATGGTAAATGGTGAAATGAAATCCAAGGATTTGGAAAAAAGAAACCATGAATCTCCAGAGACAGAAATGTACAAGAGTGCAGTGGACATGGCCCTAGAGAGTCTAGATGGACACCTGGACTTGTTCCTCCGCTTCCTACTTGGTCTTTCACTGGAGACCAATAAGTGTCACTTCAGAGGCTTTGTGGCACAGACAGAAGATAGTTTAGCGGTTAATAAAGACACAGCCCAGTACATCAAGGAGAAGATAAATAATGATCTATGTGTTGAGAAAAGCATCAATCTGTTCCACTGCCTGAATGAACTAAATGATCAGTCGCTGGTGGAGGAAATCCAACAATCACTACGAACAGGAAGTCTTTCAATACACCAGTTGTCTCCTGCTCAGTGGTCAGCTCTGCACTACATCCTCCTGTCATCAGACAAAGGTCTGGAGATATTTGACCTAAAGAAATACTCTGCTTCAGAGGAAGCTCTTCAGAGACTGTTGCCAGTAGTCAAAGCCTCCAGCAAAGCTATGTAAGTACAGATGTAGTTAGTTTTATAAAAGTCTCCAATCATAACAATACGTTTATTCTGTTTTGTCTTTGTCCTTTCAGACTGAGTGGTTGTAACCTCTCAGAGAGAAGCTGTGAATCTCTGTCCTCATTGCTCAGCTCAACATCCTCTAGTCTCAGAGATCTGGACCTGAGTAACAATGACCTGTCAGATTCAGGAGTGAAGCTGTTGTGTGAAGGACTGATGAGTCCTAACTGTGAACTGGAGATTCTCAGGTTTGATACATTTAAATTCTGTTTTATATTCTGTGTAATACATATGTTTTGCATTTTAAGTAAAATATACAATGCAAAATTCTATGTTTTACATTTAGAAACATGTCTAAAGCATATTTTTTTTGTGTACATTTTAAAAAGAAAATTGTACCAAGTATTGAATTTTCTCTGAGTTGGCAATAGAGAGCAGTTGCAGCAAAGAAGCTTCAATGCTGATATAAAGTGGGCAAGTTAGTGAAGCAAACCATCTCTATCTAGGGAAAAAACATTAAAAAAATATAATGTTGTGAGTATAACAATAAACACAGAATTTTTCTTACTTGTCCAAGGGAAATAAGATAAAAGTTGTAATTTGAACTGTATAATACCATGTTACTGTAAAAAATATATTTCATGTTTCAGATTAATCAAGATAACCTAAATATAAATACAAAATGGTCTCAAGTTGAAAATCTTCACTTGTTGTTGTAGGGATGCACAATATATTGTCAATATCAGAATCGACAAATGTTAGTTTTATTTTCAAATATCAATATTGGTCCCAGCAACGATCAACAACCAGTGTCAAAATATAATATATATATATATTTTAAATATATATATATATATATATATATATATATATATATATATATATATATATATATATATATATATAATATATATATATTATATATATATATAAATTCCCTTCTCACCCACCGCGGGTGGTTCTTATCCTCTGAGAACCACTATGTTTTCTCTACCAGAGGCCTGGGAGCTTGAGGGTCCTGCAGTATCTTGGCTGTGCCAAGGACTGCACATTTCTGGACTGAGATGTCTGATGTTGTTCCTGGGATCTGTTGTAGCCACTGCTCCAGTTTGGGGGTTACTGCCCCGAGGGCCCCGATGACCACAGGCACCACTGTGGTCTTCACCTTCCAGGCCCTCTCCAGTTCTTCCCTGAGGCCCTGGTATTTCTCCAGTTTCTAGTGCTCCTTTTTCCTGATGTTGCAATCGCTTGGTATTGCTACATCTACACAACCGCTTTCCTCTGATGTTTATCCACTACGACAATGTCTGGTTGGTTCGCCATTATCATTCTGTCTGTCTGGATCTGGAAGTCCCACAGGATCTTAGCTCTGGTGTTCTCTACCACCTTTGGGGTGTTTCCCACTTTGATCTCGGGGTTTCCAGTCCATATTCTGCACAGATGTTTCTGTACACAATGCCTGCCACTTGGTTATGTCGCTCCATGTATGCTTTCCCTGCCAGTATCTTGCACCCTGCTGTGATGTGCTGGACTGTCTCAGGGGCCTCCTTGCACAACCTACACCTTGGGTCTTGTCTGGTGTGGTAGATCTGGGCCTCTATTGCTCTGGTGTTTAGGGCCTGTTCCTGGGCGGCCAGGATGAGGGCCTCTGTGCTGTCCTTGAGTCCAGCTTTTTCCAGCCATTGTAGGATTTACTGATATCAGCCACTTGGGTTATTTGCTGGTGGTACATCCCATGTAGGGGCTTGTCCTCCCATGATGGTATCTCTGGCACCTCAACCTCCGTTCCCTGTTGTCTGAGACATTCACTGAGCACATTGTCTGTTGAGGCTTTGTCCCTGATGTATTTATGGATCTTAGTTGTTTCGTCCTGGACAGTGGTTCTCACACTCACTAGTCCTCTGCCTCCGTCCTTGCGGCTCGTGTACAGTCTCAGGGTGCTGGATTTGGGATGGAACCCTCCATGCATGGTTAGTAGCTTTCTAGTCTTAATATCTGTGGCTTTTATCTCCTCCTTTGGCCAGCTGATTATTCCAGCAGGGTATCTGATTACTGGCAGGGCATAGCTGTTTATCGCACGGATTTTGTTCTTGCCATTGAGCTGGCTTCTCAGGACTTGCCTTATTCGTTGGAGGTATTTAGCTGTGGCTCCTTTCCTTGTGGCCTCATCGAGGTTGCCATTTGCTTGTGGTATACCTAGGTACTTGTAACTGTCCTCTATGTCTGCTATTGTTCCTTGTGGGAGTGAGACTCCTTCTGTGTGGATCACCTTCCCCCTCTTTGTGATCAGCCGACCACACTTCTCTAGTCCGAATGACATCCCAATGTCAGTGCTGTAGATCCTGGTGGTGTGGATCAGTGAGTCGATGTCTCGCTCACTCTTGGCATACAGCTTGATGTCATCCATGTAGAGGAGGTGACTGATGTTGGCCCCATTTTTGAGTCGGTATCCGTAGCCAGTCTTGTTGATAATTTGGCTGAGGGGTTCAGGCCTATGCAGAACAGTAGCGGGGACAGAGCATCTCCTTGGTATATGCCACATTTGATGGACACTTGTGCAAGTGGTTTGCAGTTGGCTTCAAGGGTGGTTTTCCACAGCTTCATCGAGTTTGCAATGAAGGCTCTCAGAATCCTGTTGATGTTATACATCTGTAGGCATTCAATGATCCAAGTATGCGGCATTGAGTCATAGGCTTTCTTGTAATCGATCCAAGCACAGGTTGGTGTGTCGGGTTTTGCAGTCTCGGGCAACTGTGCGGTCTACGAGGAGTTGGTGTTTGGCTCCTCTGGTATTTACACCGATACCCTTCTGTGCCGTGCTCATGTGTTTGTCCATGTGTTTGCTTATCTTGGCCGCTATGATGCCTGACATGAGCTTCCAGGTTGTGGAGAGGCAGGTTATTGGTCGGTAGTTGGTGGGACTGGACCCTTTGATGGATCCTTCTGGATTAGGATTGTTCGCCCTTCAGTTAACCATTCAGGGTGAGTCCCACTTGTGAGAAGGGAATTTTATATCTATATCTATATCTATATATATATATATATATATATATATATATATATATATATATATATATATATATATATATATATATAATTATATATAATAATAATTATAATACTATATAATAATTATATATATATATATATATATATATATATATATATATATATATATATATATATACATATGTTCTTATTGTCGTTGATATGCTCCCCCAAGTGACAGCAGTTTGCAAATTTTTGTTACAAGTTATATTTTTAAGACGTTCAAAATAAATGTGTAAAATTGGTCCCTCTGTATGAAAGTGTTGGCTTTACACTGAATCTGTAAAGTATTTCCAGTTCTTCATTGTTTTTTCAGATTATGTTGTGTTATTGATTTGAGAGTAATTCTCTTTTTTAAATCTACACAATGTAGACACTAAGTTCGTGGGACAAAGGACAATTATTTTTTAACATTGTAGAATCGGAAGGTCCAAAACTCTTGATTATTTAAGTAAACAAACAATACGTAGAGACGAGTCCTTTACTACCAGCCACGACGGGTCAGGAGATTTATTATCACTTCTACCACGGATGCATCATTACAAAATCAAAGTTCCAAAAGTCTTTTCCCCAAAATCTCCTCGTTCCTTATCAACAATCCCTTTTTATTTACCACCCTTTACACTAGTGTGTATGGGGGAATTTTGATCAATTCAGATTATTATTTTGGTTTGCGTCAAGATTTCTGGCTGCCCAATAGACTGAGTGTCTGTTGGAGTTTCTCTGGAATAATCATGACCTCTTTAATCTAAACATCTGGTCCACATCTGAACTGCTGAATAAGCCAATTAATCACAATTGTTGCTCTTATCTATCTAATCAACTTACTTCCCAACCCATATTTTGGTCCAACTTTTTGCTTCGCACGCAAAGGAGGAAGGTCATATTGACCTTAATGGCGCCAACAATCTTTCTGCAAAAACAACTCCATAAGAAGTATTTCCGTGCTAAAAACATCTTTGCACATTTCCTAAAAATGTAAAATGTAATTTTGAAAAGTTACTTAGGTATTTGCAATCTTTATTATGGCATTGAAGACTCAGCTGAGGTGCATCCTGTTTTCAGTTAAGCTTAACTTGCTATAGGTAAATTCAGAACATGATTTGAAACAAATTTGCCTATAAAATGTCTTGCAGGTGTCTTATCAGAGCAGAAACTAAAGAATGACATCAAAGAAACTGTCTCTAAACCTTTGAGATCAAAGTGTGTAAAATCACAAATTTGATGAACGTTATAAAAAATAAAGGATTTTTGGCACCACTAAATGTACTGAAAAGCACGGAAATTCCGAGTGCTTATGTTTATTTGTAATGTAAGAAGTTTAGAACTACTAGGATCCTCTGCAATATCAAACTGAATATTTGTACTGCGGGATGAGATGAAGATGACAGCAGTCAGGGTGAAATGACAAAAATGTTTTAATGATGTCAAAATGCAAAAATGCTCTGGAACATTGTCAAGCACAACAAAGGAACATAGAGAATCCAGGGATAACAGATGACACAGGTGAACTTCAATACATGTGGGGATATCAGGAAATGAGGGACAGCTGGAACCAATAATGGGGAATGACATAAAATATGGCAACAAAATACGGTGCTCTGGTCAAATAAACATATACGTTGGTTTGGACTTTGCAAGTTGTTAGATCAAGACAAGAGATGGAGAATAGTCTAGATTGATAAAATCTAGACTACTATCAAGTGTGTTATAGAGTGTGTGCTATAATGTGTTGTCAACAGGGGAGATTTGCCAATGAGTGACCTTTGCTCCTAAGGCTGAGGTGTCTACTTCCATGTTTGGTCTGGTTGGGTGAGAATGGGAGCTTTGTTTTTTTTGTTGTTGTTTAAGTCAGAAGATTGTTTTGCTTCTGAGGATCAAATTAATATTTTTTTGGTGTATTTGAGACTCTTGAGGGTAACTGCATTTTTACTGTATCATAATGAAGCGACAATAGAAGTTGGCAAAACAGAGGAAGCATTGCAACTGTTTTCAAGAAGATGACATTGGCCAGTAGAGGACTTTCCAGGTCTGCTTCCATCTGCCTGATCCCCAGAATAAATTCCAAGATCCATTCAATTAGAGAGGATCTCTTGAGATTAATGGAGAACATACCAAGATGTAGCTTTGTATTAGGAGAATTTTTTGACCAATATAACCCCACTTTGTCATTGTAATTTTTACATAGTAACACTGGGAG